TATTACAGAGAAAGGTCTCTTTAGAAAATTATATAACAAAATTAGCCTTTTTATTGTGTTTACCATAACTTATCACTCCATGGTATGCATTTGACACAATTTATGTTAAAAAAAAAAAAAAAAAAAGATACCTAAGCAAATATTTTCCTTCTTCATAGCCATTGACTAAAGACAGTGCCTGTAAGTTTCCTCTTAATACATTTGTTTTAGTCTTGTGAGACTGAACCAAATCTTCTAATTTTTTAGCCCTTGTCAACAATTTCCTAATAATACATTCATTAGCAACGCATGATTGTTAAAGCCGGTTGGACTACAGTTTCTACCGCAGAACCTTATTGTTTCCTGAATGGAAGGGAATAGCTTGGGCACAGTTCAGTCACAACAGATCTGAAGTGAAATCACATAGTTTATAGTAACATTAGGGAAAAAGCAGGTAGTAAATTTAATGCATGTGGCTTTGTATCATGACGCATCATCCTAAGAATCCTCAGAGGAAGAACATTTCTGATATTAAGAGTTAAGTATTTAATTTAATGTGAAGAGGAAAAAAAAGTCACTACTCACATAGATTTTACCCCATGTTAGCACTGACCGCTGCCTTGAGCTTAACCAATTTTCTTCAGGCAAAAATTCTACATATTGCACATATTAACTAGACAAGCTTTGGGAATTCTTTCAAAACATTATAGATAAATGCTTCACTTCTACAACTACATGAACGTATGCATCTGCTAAAAGCCCCTCCACACCCACACCCACCCCCCCAACCAGACCATAGTTCATATTTTACATTATTAGAGGACTGAAGAGAGTTGGAAATGAGTATAGCTATCATAATATGAAGATGATAGTCAAATGGCATCTATTATTCAATTATTGTTTGGTTCCACATTCTTTTACTCATGTATTTTATCCTTATCATCCTATCTACAGTAATTGCACTTTGGATTTGTGACACATTTCTGTGTTTTATTATATATAATAAAAGTCAAACAATCTGTAAACATCTGATGATTAAAAAGACCAGCTGCAACCACCACTAAGATGAACCTGAGCCATTCTGTGCACAGGGAAAGAGTGAGTTTGACACATGCTACTAATGTAAAAAAGGGGTTGGGGTGTGGGGGGGTGAGGTGTGTTTGGGTTATTTTCCTGTTGCAGCCTTACATTGTAATGCTCCAATGTACAACCTACCCACAACATCCGACTGCCTTCTAAAGGCAGCTGTAGCATCCACGTTCTTCCTGGACAAAAGCTAAGTCTAGGTCATGTCACAGAGTTCATCACAGAGCTCTTATCACTGCATGTTCTCAGGGACAGAAAGCAACGAATTTGGACAACAAGCAAGAACTGAGCAAAAATCAGTCTCTCTAGGTCAAGAAGAGTTATGGCATCTCCCTGATGATAGGAGCTGTCAGGAGCTGAAGTCTAACGGCTTCATGACTAAAACAGCATTGAGGGGTTAGCATCATGAAAATAATGACCTGTCATACCAGCTATCATATCAGCAGAAGAAAAGCTGCTTCTTTCCTTCATCAGAAAGGGTGGACATACAGAATGTAAATCCACTATGCCTCTGTTAGATAGAAACTCCTTTATGTAAGGAAAATTCACTGTCAGTTCTATCATCTGAACAGTTCTACATAAAACAGCCAGGAGACTGCATCCTTCTCCTTTTTAGTTTGTTTGGTTTGCTGGGGCAATCTTTGTGTTTGTAACCTTTTTCTTTTTCAAGTCACAAATTAAACAAAGTGTACGAGAGTGAAATTCCTGCAATATTGCAGAGATTTGCATATCCATATTATCAAGCAAATAACCTAAATCTCTTCTGAATACGTGCATGGATCTAATTTCCACATAAACTGGAGTTTGTGTTCACTTTGGAAAGGACACAGTAGGATTCTTAACATTTTGACCATAGAAAGGATGCAGCACAGATGAAGTAGAACTATTGTTAAAAAAAATCATTAGCTGTATTTTAAGCAATGCAGAGGTGAACTGCATAAATTTTGAACATATCACAATTGTACAACCCGGACAAAAACACCTAGAGGAATGCAGGCAAAATATCAGAAGTTTATTCTAAAAACCTATAATTTAAACTTTGTTTCCAAAACATACAGAACACAACAATCATTCTTAAGACTGGTAAGAATTAGCACAACTACTAGGACTATGCATTTTAATGCTGTTCCAGGTAAGGCTGTAAAAGTATTTAAAAGTATTTAAATTTAAATGTACAAGTATTTTAAGTGGAGACTAGACTGGTAGCTTAATTGTATCTGTAAAATGTGATATTCCTTCTGAATGAAAAGACATCACAGAATAGCTTGAAATGTCAGAACTGACTTTGGAGAAATCCAAGTGTGGAGGTCAGGTCAGCCGGATTCGGGCAAAAACTTGCCATAACTTCAGGATACAAGGACATTTCTTACCACTTCCATTGTTTTCCTGTTATAGAACTACGTTATATACCTGGATAAGTTTTTGTTTCATTTTTTCCAATGTGTGAGCAATATTTGGATTACTGTGGGATTTAAAAGCTGCTAATTATCCTAAGATAATATACTCCACTGTATTCTCTCATTAGCCCAGTGAGCTGATACTACAGGGCATTACAGCCTATAGCGATGTTAGAAAAATCTCTGTTATTGCACAGAATATGCAGCTTAAGAAGCAGGTAGAGGAACTGAAAACTGTGACAATGACCACAGCAGGTAATTCACAAGGTCCTCCCATACACTAGAGAGGAGAGAAAGATATCCTGGTATGAAGTGTAGGCTGTTGCATAGAATGTCTAATGTTACCAGGCTGCAGTTTTTACTAGTTTCAGCCATAGGTCAAAACTAAAGGATCAGGTCACTGTAAGGTATAAAGTTAAAATTTCATGTCATATTTTGTTCTGTCCTTTGTCATATAAACTTGCCTTTGAAAAAACTGTCAAGTATTCTACAGCAACAATACTGATGTGTGTGTTTCAAGATGGCAGAAGCACAGTGGAATAATAAGGAGTATGGGATGCAGTCAATTACAATCTTTAGCTTTTCTACAGAAGGTAGTGGAAAGAAAATGAAATAATTTTATTAGGAACAATGAGAGATAAGAAATGCAAGACATTACTTATAAAGAGATATTACTCTAATAACTGGTAACTTACTTGGGCTGTGTAGAATTGTTTTACATTACTAAAACAGAGATAGTTTAACTAATTCCTCAACTTGTCAATTATTTATACTCCCTTCACATCAAACAATGTATACTTTCTTTACTTTGTTATGGAATTTAAATGTCATAGGAACCCTAGCTATGTTTTTTTTCTTTTGCTTAAAAACAACCATATAACTCTCTTTTTCAACGAGTCATATCTTTCAAGCCAAAAAGCCCAATGTGTCCTCAAAACTGCATCTATCAGGAAGTGCATTCATACAACTTCCTGGTATCCCTGCACAAATACAAGCCTGATGAGGTTACGACTGAATGAAGATTATGAGGGAGCAGTACTTTTATATTCAGCACATTGTTTACTTAAAATAAATGTACTCCCATTAAAATACTATTCTAGTTATAATATTAAAAATATTTTAACTTATCTTACTTTTTTCTTTGCAAGTGGACGAATGAGTCACCCTACCTGGATTTTCTTTCACTTGCCACTTCACTCTGCCATATGCAAAGAAAAGAAAAAGCAAGCTAAGTTTTCATTTAAAGAAAAGAATCATTGTGCAAAGGGAGTGCACTCATCTGAGCAAACATATGTTTATAGTACTTAGTATTTATATTTGACATGGCCTTGACAAATACTCCTTTCAGAATTATGAAAGAGATATCTGCCCATATACTGTGAACCTCAGCTCCCAAATTATGTGCAAAAGCAGCCTCTAAGAAATTCGAATTTGCTATCAAAAGTTCTACAATATACAAAATCAACTGAATTTAAATTAATTAGAAAAACTGAAAGCAAGGATCAAATTGAATGTGAGTACAAGGTACTCAAAAATAAAATCCCAAACACAACAACAAAACAAACCAAAAAACTACGTGGAAAGAAAAATCTTCTGTGAAGTACCTCTCCAGGAACACATCAAAGGAGGAAATGACGTATTTTATCTGTAACTTAATTTACTGAAAAGAGTTTATACAACATACCACTATTCACACATAGGGGGTTTTTATGACGTGTTGCAGTGATGGCAGATACAGGATACAAGAGTTTAGGATCTCTCCCTTCCACTCACCCACAGGAAGCATATAAATAATGTCAGCCCCTGCTGCCCCACAAAATATGCAAAACATAATCAATCAGATGGCTCGGTTCAGAACTACATTCCTTCTGATGCCTGTTATGTCATGTTGCCTCTCGAGCTACAAAATCTTCAGCTGCAAATCATAGGAAGGAAATAAAGATTCCACAGGTCCTACAAAAACCTGTGCAGTGATTGAGCAGCCAGAATACTTGCAGTCGAGAAAAGAGAATGTGATTGAAGAATGTCAGTTAATGCAATACTGTAAGTGCTGTTTTTCATTGAAAGCTGAAAACTTGACCATTAAAGGCCATTTAAATATCCTGCAGTAGGGTGTTGGGATTTTTTTGAACAGAGATGTTGCATGGTGCTGTGACCTGAATTCAACTTCAGGTAACTTTCTTATCTAAATTTTCTCTGTAAAAATTAAACATTCATTCCCCTAACATTCTGTCAAGAATATCTTCTCAGATGTCAAAACTTTTACTTGAGAGATTAATTATTTCTTATTTTTGTATCATAAAATATCTGTGGCCCAGACACTGAATGCAGAAGGAAAAATGAGAGGATCCCAAAACTTTCAAGTATGAAATCCTTCTCTAACACTACAAAAGAAAATAATAAACTAAGACTTTAAAAGATGTATTTTATAAATACATTGACATGTGGGTGTCACATTTTTGCAAAACTCAAGCAACACTTTTATTCCATCCCACACACCTCTGTTCAATTTTTGTAAGTTAAAGGAAAGGAACTTACTTGCAAATGTCATCTTCTGGGTCCTCAAGCCCAAATCTTTCATCAAAAGTAAGCTGTATCCATACATTTTCATCTACTGCTACTAATCTCCACACTAGTACAGTATTGCGTGGGTACGTGTGTGGAAACTTGGGGCTGTGAATACTTCCATTAGTAGTCACAGTAATTATCTTCTCATGCTGAGGATCCTGCACGCCTGTAGTAAAGACAGAAAAGAGATGCATCAATATTCATTTTTTCTCCTTTTTCTGAAGTGTTTGTATAGTATGCACAGATAAAGATACCTCTGTTTTGTTTGCTTTTCTTCATCTTGCAGGGAATTTCTGATCAGAAAATTTAAATAGTACAAACTACCCAAAAGTGATAAGTATTACTTTGCTGGCAAAAAGTTATTAAATCTCAAGTCTCAACTTTTACTCAGAAAGCAGAACAGAAGTTCAAGTGGAAATAAGAGAAACGTGACTGCAAACACCTGAATGAAAGACTGGACTCCTTACATAAGCCCAGCAGCCCAAGGGACTACATCATGCAGCCTGCTGATGGTTTCAGTTCTTTATTACTGGAGATTGCAGAGAGATCACACACAAGTACAGGGAGAGGTTTGCTCACACCTACCACAAAAGGGATGGTTTAGATTTGTCTCTTGTTAATGGAGATTGCCCTACATTTATTGAGTCCAGTGATGGCTGCCTCCTTCCTGAGGGCTGTATCAGAACAAAGTTATCCCAATACAGGAATGAAACCAGGACATGCTTGGGAAACCTGGGAAAGTCACCAAGTATAAGAAATCAGGCCTTTACTGATGAGCTTCAAGCAAGGTTGTTTCTGAAAAATTCTTCACAGCATTGTTGGACGAAATACATGTAAAATTAAATGAATGTCTTACAATGAGGCAGTAAATTAATTCAAAAGAAAAAAGCCAACTATATTTGATTTTTAAAGCACACAGTAACACTGAAACTACTGAAAAGACTCTTCGGGTTATGAATTTATAACTGTGAGGAGTTACCAAAAGGAAAGGACTCCTTTAGTGAGCAGCAGATGTGCCTTTCAGAGCCCCAACAACTCTCTTCACAGTAACTCAAGAAACTTCATTCTCAAGTGCCCGGTATTCACAGGAATTCACATTCAGCAGCTGGACTCAGTTCATATTGGGTATTTAGCTGCAAAACCCAGGAACTGACCTAATCTGGATACATTTTAACACTGTAACAAAATGAGACTACAAAAGTTGATTCCACAAGCACATCAAATGAAAAAAAAAATCACCCTCCTTATGCTATAGCACATGACTTTTACTATCTTTGTTTTTTTTTTTTTAAAAGTCTGTATACAATCAGGTTTGACATTTCAGTCAGTGAATCACAGGAATTCTCAGAGGTACCTATTAATAACTTTAGTAACAAAACAATCTTGTAGTTTTGTACTGGAGAGTTGTTACTTTTTTTTTTTTTTTTTTTTTTTTTTTTTTTTTTTTTTTTTTTTTTTTTTTCTCCTTAGCTATTAATCGTTTCTTTCAGTTAAATACTTTATCTTCCTTTTCTGATCATTTTATAACCAGCATTATGATAAACATTCATTTGAAGCTATGCAAGACATATATGCTTCAGCCTGCTATGAAAATATAACCTGCAATTGTACCTTATTATAGCTACATGTAAAGGCTGACAGCTAAATGAATGTAGTCCAAGAAAGAAGGCCACAAAAACAGCATTACGATTTTAAAATAATTAATCTATACTTAAATATAATTTAAAGTCTGACAGAGTTTTGCCTTCTATACTGATAAGACCTGTGCCTTCTACTTGTGGTATGAACATGGTAAATTTTCTTTTAACTGGAATTGCTGCTAATATAAAATGGATGGAGTTTGGTCTTGCCAGCATCCACACACAGATGCAGAGGACTGACTGTCTTGCATACAAATAAGAGACAGCATGCAGTAATAATAATTTTTTAAGCAGCACAAAAAAGGACACAAAACCCAGATTCCTAATTTAGACACTTCATTGGGTTCTTGTTAGCTGAGTCACAAGCATTTTTCTATAATGTATAGTATGTCAGCTGAGAGCTGCATGTTAAACACAGGAGCCAACAATAATAAAAATTACTTTCCCAGAGATTATTACACCAGAGTGTTATTTCCAAAGTATGCAAAGGACCACCAATTCAGACAAACATGTCAAAGTGTGGTGTCTGACAATACTATATTCAGTGGTTCATTTTGTCTTTAAAAGCACACACAGAATTACAAACCATGTTATATTTCACAACATACTAAGAAAGCGTTTTCTTTTGTATCAGGACAATGGTAACAACAGCCCTGCAAGTAAGGACTGTAAACAGTCCAGGCATATCAAATGAGAAGTCAGTAAAAAGGGGCAGAGGAAAGAAAATGCATGTGGCAATTTAGTGAACAGAATTTGCAGCATCTCCATCCAGTACCTTCAGCTCCTTCATTTTGTAAAGGAAAAATATCTACTTTAACACACAACAGTGTTCCGTGAACATATCAAACTCCCACACATCACTTGCTCCTTTTCAAATATTTGCTCTTGCACAGTGGAATTTCTTCTCTTACAAAAGAATTATTTTGTATGACTACAAAGGCAAGTAATTGCTGTCACTGGAGAATGAAGCTTGCTATTTGTCTTCAGATAAGCTGCAATATTCTTTTTTATTTATTCTACATAAATTGTACCATTGTACCTCAATAATCTAGCCTTTTTCTACTAAGTCCATGCATGTTCTGAAAATTTCTTTCAAGTAAACTGTGTGAAGAGCACAGCTACCCGAATGTGGCTGAGACTACAGTCTCTATCCTTTGTGGATTTTAGGGATATTTTAGGAGTAAATCAGTCCAAGTTACACTTAAAAGGGAGTAACAAGTTCAGTCAGATTTACTGCGGTCAGCTGTGTAACTCCAAAGCCATATATATGGCTATATACATTGCTGCCGTGATGTCTGCCTTTCTATTAACAACCATCCTCCCCATCCTCCCCCAAAAAAAAGATCATGATAAAATTATTACTGTACAGACAGCATTGAACAACACTGAAGAATCAGTTCAGGCAAGGACTGAGGTAGGCAACGCACCATTTCAGCCAGGGGGTAACAATACCACACAAGGGAAACAGGGACAGACAAGGATCAAAACAATGTATTTGCATCTTCAGTAAAAAGCTTCATCAGAAGATGGGCAAATGAGATGACCTGTAGGAGAAAGTCCTGGAAACAGGGCACACTAGATGGGAAAAATCCCTAAACTGAACCAGGGATATGACATGGTTACACTTACTGGGAAAGGACAGCACACACTTAACACAGCCTGAAGTTGAAGAATGAGTTGCCGCAGCTGTCTTTGATGTGGTACAAGATGCTATCACCAGATTTATATATCTATCAAGGTAGAAAGTCTACCCCTGAAAATTACAAGATTCCAGGCATTCTGAAAGCACTGCAGTGCCTAACCCTTCCACCGATGTGGTAACGCAGATGAAAAATCACGGTATCGCCAAACAGATCAGCAGATGCCACTGTAAACTGAAATTAAACCCACCGACTAGACAAGCTCATTCCTGCCTACTTCAAAGTAGGTCTCTTCCCCCATGGGCACAACACATCTCACAAAGATCAACGCTGACACTTTTTAAATATAGCAAATACCTCTTTCCTAGTATATCATAATCACTACATTTTAGTGAGGGTCATGGGTAAAACTCTGAGAAAACACATACAGTTCAGGAGACAGACGAGGAGCTGCAGAGGAAGAGAGGAGCACCATGGGTGGAGTAACGGCCTCAGCACTGATTCACTTAAAAGGCTGATTCACTTAAGAGGTCACACAGTACTAGTAAAATTTTTAAAACTTTTTGCTAAACCTACGCTAATTTCACAACAGGAGAAGATGAGAGTACTGCTAATCATGCACTGTTAGCATATTATTTGGTTAAATACATTCAATAGCCCTTAATTAAGAAAATCAACTTTTAGGCCTTCAGAAACAGCATTAGCTCATGTGTGGGTATCACTGCTCTTAAAAAAAGCTGAATTCAAACATAAAGTTTCAGCTCTAAATATTTGCCAGTTAATACTAGAGCTTTTTCAGATATACAGTAATGTTGCAAGTATGTGTGAGTCCTCTGCTGTAAACTCAGAAACAGAAGATGACAGTAACTAGTTATTCATTACCACGGAACTTCAAAGAGAAGCAGGTTTTTTTAATTAAAGTAATGGAAAGGATTTCCTGAAAACATTCCCATATAATTTTTACAACACTCCACATATGTACAGAAATTGAGACTTTGCAGAAGAAATTCTTTGAAATGTAACATAACATGCCATTTCTTTCTTTTTCACCAGACTTTCAAAAGTATAGTAACTTGAGGCATAAAGGGGTACCCCTTTCTCTCCTCTGTCTCTGTTTCAGTTGCCTCCAGGCACTTCTTAGCTATTATCTGAATGTAACAGTCAAAATGGAATTTAACTCTTTTGCTGGGTACAAAGGAAAATCTGGAAAATCGTCTGTTATTGGCAGAAAATTGAAGACAAATAGCTCTGTTCAATATTGTTCATATATAAAATGAATATCAGGGCAAAGCTGCTCAAGGTCATACAAATACTGCTTTGAAGAGAGCTCTGGAGGCTTCCAGTCCCAGCTTGTCCTTGGGTTACAATTCCTGCTCACACTACAGCAGGTCACCCATTTGAGGGTTAGCTTTTTCTAGCCAATATTCAAGCTCCCTCACAGATGGAAACTCCACAGTGTCTCAGGATAACCTGTTCCAGTGCTGTACTATCTCCCAAGGTAAGATGGTTTTCCTAATGTCCAATCTGAACCTCTCAAGCTGCAATTTCCAGCCATGGGTTTTCTGGGTTTGTTTTGGTTTTACACTCTTTGACCCTACCAGGAAGAGTTTAACTTGGTCACTCTTGCAACTGTTCTTCAGACAACTGGGGGCTGCTACTAGAGTTCCCCATAGCCTTCTCTTCTTCATACTAAACTTGTCCAGCCTCCTCACCCTCTACTCACTGCCTACCACCAACTAGATGCTGAGCCTTCAAGCCTGGCCATCCAGCCAATTTTCAACCTACCTAACAAGCAGTTCTGTTCTTCCCAATCATTGTGCCTCAAATAGCACAAAAAATGCTTTTGAAGCACCCAGGGTCTGTTTTCATCATCAACTTTTCAAGTAATGAGAAAATAAAACTTCATAAAGGCTTGCTATCTCCTAAGATAGCTTTCCTAAGTGGTATGGTTTGTGGCTTTTCTGGGTTAAATCTCCAAGACACATCTAGCCTTCTGTGG